TTGGTCCTCAACATAATAAAGACTTAAAAAAGTGTGATTTTTGTCCTCAAATTTTAAAATTATTTTGGAACATCAAATATTACACTCTATTTTGGAGAAAAATGTTAAAAAAACACGCAATTTTCGGGATCTCAGGTTTTCGTGGTGGGACTAGAAATAATGAAATAAAAGATAAAGATGATAAATTTAGCATTTAAAATTGGTCGATGTAATCCTAAAATTATGTGGAAGTGTCAAAAAGGCCTCACGAACAAAAATTTTGACCCTTCAGGTTTTCGTGGTGGGACCCAAATTTATTTTTTATTCCAAAAATACATTCCAAATTTAAACTGTAAGTGATCAAATCGGGCCGAAATGACATTACCCGCCAATCTCTGTTCATCTCAATTCCCAAATTGCCTCAGGGGATTCGGAAAGATTGGGGGCGGCAAGTTCGGCCGTTCGGATGACTAAACTTTACTTTTTCGGGCCCAAATTAGTACTCTTTTAACTTGAAAATGTATTCTGCTTCCTTCTAGGTATATTGTTGGTGGTCCGGAAACCTCAGACAGTAGTTATGTTATACTTGGCGAGAAAATTTCTTTGGGCCGAGTACAAGATAATTTTCGCCATGTGCAATGTCCCTAAGCCCTCAATTCTTCTTTCTCTTCTTCAAAGACCTTAAAGGGACCCTTGAATTATCAGCAGCACCTTTATGTTTAGTGTTTGACCTACCATTTTCCCCATTCTTGTATTGCACTTTCCCCCATTATATACTATTATATTTCCCTGTCCTTTTGCGTAGTCGTATCTTAAATTTAGATGCCCTTAATCTCGACGACCTGTTTGTTTACCTTGATTATTTTGGAGGGTGTGTCGTTTTTATGAAAAGTCTCTTTCCCCTCAGAGGCATTAAATTCCATGTGCAGTCGAAGATTTTTTTTTTTTTTTTTTGAGAAACGATTTGAGAAGTTTGTGGCATATGGAAATGTTTTGAGGTGATAAAAGGCTATTTGGACGATAATAGAGGCCAAAAAATAGGAAGTCACGTACTGAACTATAAAAAAGTAGTGCTATTACAATCAAATTTAATGTCAAGTATAATGTAATAACCCTCGAAAAGCTTGTTTCAATCCAATTTTACTTTTCCGTAGCTTTATTTTAACTTTACTGGTAGCTAAAGTCAAAATTCAGAGTTAAAAATGCACTGTGCAGTGACCAAAAAGTCATTGCACCGTGCAAAAAACAGAGAAAAGAAGTGACAAAAAGTGCACTGTGCGTTCGGAGAAAACAAGTGAGCAATCGCACAGTGCGAAATTTCCAAGGAAAAATGCACGGTGCAGTGGGAAAAATGTGTCTTTTTGCACTGTGCAATCAAAATTTGAGTTATTTATGGGATTTTTGAAATTGAAATAGTGTAAAATACGTCGTAGCACCTTTTTTATTTTCAAACCTAAAATTTTCCGACCATTTCCGGGCAAAAATATTATTTTAGTCACCAAAAATCCGAAAAATTTTATTTTTTCTGCAAAAAAACGAAATTGTTTTTGTAAATACCACATGAAAGTATTGTAAGTTGAACTGTGATGTCTTTCTGCCCACACAACTTGCTTCCACTAATCCTTTATCCGTCATTTTTTTCTTTTTTTTATCCAATTTCCATCGATCTTTTATAAAACTTGGGGGCAATTCTTATCAAATTTGGCCAAAGGAGAAGATCCGTTCTGTTTGGTTTGGCCAAAAAATGCGATTTGTCTGCAGGGTTCGAAACTTTGAACTTTTTTTGTAGATTTTTTGGAAAATTTTTGTTTTTGGAATTATTGATGAGAATATAAAAATTGAAGGAGAAAACAGAAATGTGAATGTAAATCAAGCTACTTTACAGTTGTTTATAGCATATGCACCTCACATTTGAGTTGTCGTTTGCACTAAAAGTTCGATTTTTGCACAAATTTGGGAGAGAACTGGCAAAAATAGGCATTTTGGGTTAAAAAAGGCAAGGGAAACGCAAGTGCAGTACAAAAGGGTATGGGGTTCGCTTCATTCTGTCACGAGGGCTATTAATTTATATTATACTGGAGGCTCGGGCAGAAAAATCCATCTTTTTTGGCAAAAACACGGCAAAATTGTCGTTTTTTCGACTTAAAAGTGTCATTATTCAATTGTTTCTGCATAACGCGGTCTGAAATTTTTATGGGTTCATTTGAAGAGTCTACAATTTATTTTGAAGTTTCTTTTGACGCGATAAAATAATGATTTTTTTATAAAAAATCATGATTTTTTGCCCTACTACCGCCCAAAAAAATTTTTTATTTTGTTTACCCCATAAAATTTTTCCGTGCAAAAATTGTTGCGTCACGTCCTAAGTGACATAAATTTTAATCCCGAACGGCATATCCGAACCCATTCCGCTCCCGAATGTAATAAACATCCATCAGAAATCCCCCCATTTCCCGCTATTTTTGGACCATAATTTCACACTTTACTGCGCTTGTGTCGTCCACTGAATACATTCGTCGTGTAACGAAGACCTTGTATTCGTATTCATCGCGTTCCTTTCAAAGGTTTGAGTATCGAAAAAATAAAAATTTTCGTTTGGACGGCTATTGAGCTGAATGGGCGTCGGAAAGGGGCGCAACATGCTCTGAATTTGATAGTTTGGTGTGTTACAAGTGGTGGAATATTTGCCAGAATTCGAAAATTTCATATTTCAAGCTTCTTTGAAATTTCCAGAAAATCTGTCATCATGACTTTGGAATTGGTCTTTATATGGGTTTTTCGGACATGATATATTTTTTACAGTACCCTTAGAAGTGTCAGTAATAAGTTTTGGACCAACAACCTCTAAGATGTTTGATTAACAACATGTCATGATGACGGATTTTCTAGAATCTTCTCAAGATTTCCATATTTCCGTCCGTGTTTTCAAAATCCTTCCATTCCGTGCCACATGCTTTGCCATCTCTCATCCCCTTCCGTATTTCACAATTATATCCGCCGGGAGAGTAATTGTGAAGCCATTTCCAGCCCCCCTCTCAAGTACAATATAAAGCCATGCCTACGTCCGTTCCCGAAATTACCCGATAATCCCCCCAAAAGATGTATATAAATACTGCGGAAATCCGTCCAATTCAATTACGCCGATTCGATTAATCACGCCGAGGCGGGCCGTGACTGTGCAGGGAGGTAGTACGCGGGCAAGGGGTTTGCATGAATAATTAAGGGTAATGTCGTGTGTTCGGGTTAAAATACGATAAATGTTTGGATTTTTCATGCGTGCTTCTGGATGCTGTGATATTGCCAGGTCATTCTAAGCCTCAGATTTTCACAATTTCGCCTATAAAGCCACTTATGGACAAAAACGTAAATTTCTAGGGATAGAAAACGTAAATTTATTTTTGATCGTTATTGTGATTTTAGGCTATTGTCATTGCAAACTATGATATTTTTGAGAACCTTAGAACTCAATGAACAATGAAACACTAGGCATATCAGTTTTCTGACACTCCTTCTAACAGATATTACACTTGATAAACTTGATGACTAAAAGAATACAAGACGCTCGTGTGGAGACTGCAGCTTGTGTTTGGTGTTGTAAACAGGTGTGGTTGATACCGTATGGCTCTTGAAATACTTATACAAAATTTTGCTAGATGACTTAGAATTCAAAAACTAAGTTTTCCCGCCATCTTTGGCATTCTGTTGCAACTGTTTTAATTGCCAGTTTTGTGATAAGTAAATAAAGATAAAAGATAACGTGACGTTTGAGAGCTCAAAGTGTGTTTTTTGATGTCTACAAAAATCTTTGTTAAACACTTGGCCATTCTTGTTTGGCCCTTAATTTGCCCCCAAACGTGCCCAATTGGGGAAAGAGACGTTTAAAAGTGACGTCCGGAATGAATGGGGCCATTTTCTCGGTGTGAAACTTTTCGTATCAACAATCTTTCGCTCTCCCCGTGAGCAAATTAAATTTGCACTGGAGGACTGACTTTTGCGGCCACCTTTTTCGCCCTTTTTTGGGCATTGGGATTCGGGGATGTGTCCAAATTGGAGGCGTTTTGTAAAGTTTGTCGAATGAACTTGGACGTTTTTGGATGTCGTTTGGCCGGGAAATGGTGTTGCCATCCTGCTTCGGGTTGATTTTTTTGTCAGGTTTTCGTGGCGGGACCTAATTAAAGGAGGAAGAGGTGTTTTTTTTTGCAAAAATTATAATTTTGACCATAAGGCATGTGCTTGAGGTGCACTTTAAACCTGTTTTCATTGATTTTTTGTCTCACAATTTCGCGGTGAGACTGAATTTTTCAAAAAAAATCTAAAATTTACCAATTCTTTTTATCGTATGTTACAACAATCATAAAGACGTTACCCAGTAATTCCCTCGTCTAACTCGTAAGCCCGTTAAGACCCGAATTTCACTCCAAATTAAATTTTAATTACCAAAATATTGAGAGTTTAGTCTCGGCGCGGTGCCGTTCGGAACATGTCCCTTTTCCGTTATTCATGCTCAGAAAGTCGTGGTCTTTTGTCAGGACAACATTTTCTTTTATGAATTTTTAAAATTCTTTCGGAATATTGAATAATTTTTGGGCCAAAATTAGGGCCAATTTTTCGTTTTTGAAGCGGAAAATATGTCGTATTTTAGGATTTTTTGATTGGGAAAATTTCTTAAATTAAATTTTGTGGTAGTGTTTACATTTTACATTTGTTTTAAAATCGTTTGTACTATGAAATTGGCCATTTTTAGCCAGTATTCCTCTTGATTGAAAAACATTTTTTATTCGGTCGTATTTTAGGATTTTCAAAACTTTAATTTCTTGCAACATTCCGTTATGACATTTTCGAGAGTTTGAAAAGTACTATTTGCAACTCTTTATTTACAAAAATCTATTTTCAGCCGATCTTACACTTGGCCGACTTGTGGTGATAAGCCCCCAAATTTTGGCTATATTTTCCAGCGCAATTATCGCAACTTCCTCGAACGACCTTAACCGTCTCCGCAACCCCTCCAACTTCCAATCAGCATGTCAAGAATCGGGCTATTCGGGCAGATCTCCGAGATCAACGACCATCTTTATCTCTCCGGGGCGGGTGTTCTGCAGCCCGAGAATCTGAAGAAGAAGAAGATCACTTGCGTTGTGAACGCGACCAACGAAGAGCCGTCCGCCTATTTGCCGGGCATCGACTACCTGAAGATCCGAATCGACGACAATCCCTACGCCCACTTGGACCATTACTTTGATATGGTGGCGGATCGGATACGGTCGGTGAAGGAGCGGGGTGGCCGGACTCTGGTCCATTGCATGGCCGGTGTCTCAAGGTCGGCCTCACTCTGCATCGTCTATCTCATAAAATACGAGAGGATGAGCCTCGTGCAGGCCTATCACTTTGTGAAATCGGCTCGACCGATCATCCGACCGAACATCGGGTTCTTCAAACAAATGGTCGATTTTGAGCGAAAAACGCGCGGCCACACCACTGTGGCTATGGTTCGGATCGACGGTTGTGACATGGAGGTGCCGGACATCTACGCCAACGAGCTCCGACGACATGCTGCATATCGCTCCGCCATCGGCGGCGCTTCACGGGTTGATCAAGAGGAGACCATTCAGAGGGCCAAGTCTGCGGTTCTGCCCTTGGACTATGGAAAGCGAAGAGGGTTGTCGGTGGGGTAAGTGCTAATAAGCTTACAATTGCTCTAGAAGCAATTTTTAGGTGAAAATTGACCTTCTCAAGTTTTCGTGGTGAAACCCGAAATCTGAAAATTTTTGACGTTTTTGATTTTTTTAAAATTCTAAACGATAAGTTTCTATTTAATACACTTTATTCAAGCATATAAAACAGATATTTCTTGAAATTTTTTGATTTCACCAAGATTTTGGGTCCCACCAAAAAAACTTGATATGGCCGAAAAGCAACTTAAAATAGCTTATAACTATTCCAACCGGACATTTTATAGAGTAATATTGTAAAATACGAAAAATTCTGTAAGATTCATTTTTATGAACCCGAAAATACGATCCCTAATCTACAGGTTCAGTTGCAGGAACTCGGACAGTCGTTACCGCTACTCCGCCTCCAAATCAGCCAACAATTACAGCCCATGGAGGCAAGTGGCATCGCTCTCGTTGTTGTCGCCCGCACCGGCGCGACGCCCGAGGCAGGAAAACTTGTTCAGCAACCTCTACAACAGCAGTCGAGGCGCCTTCTTCTCGGCCTTCTGAGTCCATCCACTTTGGGAAGAGCAATCCCCAATTCTTGCATTTTCTTTGTTGTCTTGAGTCTATATTCGTTTTTGGAGACCAACTTTCTTTGTAAGCGATCATTTTTTGTGTAATTGGATAGCTGATCTCTATCACTAAAATTTAAAATATCTTGCAAATTCTTTGTGGACGGAAGCAAATAGATGCGGAAATTAATGACCAAGACTACTTTTATTGGCGTGTTTTACCTTATACTGGTCAAAAATTTTGGATTTCTCATCGTTTTTTGAGTTTTCATGTTTTCGTGGCGGGACCCAAAAATCAAATTGTAAACGGAAAATAGATAAAATGCTAATTTGAAGAGATTAATTCAGCATAAAAAACGAAATGAAGAAGTAAATTTTAATTTTAGACATCCTTATTCAAAATTTTAGGTCCCACAACGAAAACCTGGAAACCTTTCAAAATCGTTCTTAAACCCCTCCGAAAGATAGAATAAGGCAAAATACGCGTAGTAAACTTCCTCTACATCCTAAATGAACCAAAAAATTCTGTTTCTGCAACTCGGTGTAAGCAACAAATGTATACATACTACAATATAAATATATCTTGCGTAAGGAAAAACTGTAATTTCACCATTCTGCCTTTGATTATTTCGATGATAAATAAACCCGGGATCAAGTGAAATCTTTATTTTTAACAACTTTATATTATACATAAGATCAACAGATAAAATTGGGTATGGCAATGCAAAATTATTGCAATATCTTGAGAAAAGTGGGCCCGTCAACTGAATTATTAGCATTTTCATCGATGAAAGAGAACTTAGCAAAGGAAATCATCGATGAATCAGTCAACGGCCCAAAAAAATATCATCGGAATCTGAAGGCGAAAACTGATGTAAAATAAGGTGAAAAAAGAGTGATAGCGTCGGAATCACCGGCCAAATAGCTTGGGATCCAGCTCGACTTGGTTGATGATCTCCGCAACGATCACTCGACTCTTTTTTCGGCCGCTTTCCTCGACTTTTTTGGGTAAGTTTTTCTCTTCGACGACCCTGATCTCTTCGAATCGGTTTTCGTCGCCGTTCCGGTCTTCAAAGTCGTAAAACTCTTCCGGATCGAACTCCACCTCTTCCTCGTCCTTCTCCGAGGTCTCGGCCGAATTTTGCCCCAGGGCTTGCCGCCGCTTCCTCTCCAAATAGGCCTTTTTTCGGCGTCCGATCGTTGTGGGATGCACGTTCAGCTCCTGTGCCAATTCGCCGCACGTTTTCTGCCCCGTAATCAACGCCTCCATCAACTCGGCGTCGGTGAAGCGACGTGGACGACCGGCTCGTGGCATGTCCGACACCTCCCGGTTCCCTTTGCGGAACAAGCGATACCAGCGGGACACCGAGGCGTAGGAGGGCGCGGTCATTCCGTGCGAATTCAGGAGCGCTTGATAGCATTCCTGGGCCGACATCCCTCGATCGAAGTGCGCACGACCGAGCAGACGGGTCTCCACGCGGTCGTAGGGCTTGTAGATTCGACGCATCGCCTGAAAACACCGAGAAGTCAGCAAAAATATTGATTTAGAGTCAAAAACCGAAGTAAATTTAAATTTTTTCAAATTTTGTGAATTTTCCAACAAAAAATCAATAAATTCATCGATGAAAAGAGCCAAAATTCAATTGAAAATCCGCCCTCACACCGAATCCCAAGCGAAAAAATTCAAAAATTTGAAAAAATCGCGATTTTCGGAGTATTCCAGAAATTCCGTCATGACGTCATGATTTTACGCAAGACATTTTATCAATTTTTGTTCAAAAATCTGTTGATAAGATTGAACGTTATCTCTAAAAAAACTTTGACGGTAAAATCTCTTGATCTGGGCGCTTTTTGAGCTCTCAATGACGGATTTTCTGGAAATTTTGGAAAAAAGCTTTGTTTTAGGGCAAAATTAGAATCGCAAAAGTATTGTTATGATTTTTTAGGCTGAATAGACCTCTAAAATAACAAAGATATGAAAGACTGAGGCAAAAAAGATCAAAAATATTCCTTGATGTCTACTACAATGTCGAAAAAGTAATTTTTTAACCAAAAATTGCTTAATTTTGGCAAAAACAATATTCTTTTAGTTCCAAAATCCCCCAAAAAGCAAGTTATTTATTGGAAAAGCGATTTCAAAATGCAAAAATCAACGCATGGCATCGGTTTTCCCCAAATTTCCCCCAAAAACTAGCTGCGAACCATTGGAAACGGAGCGAAAAACCGCCGATTCGAGGCGTCCAGAATCCGGGCTGACTGAAAACCCAATATTATGCACGCAAAACCCTGCGAAAATGGTGCAATTTTATGTTTTAAAAGGCCGAATTTACGCGCTTTCGCCGCCCGACCGCTCTCTTCTCGGGGCGCGCTCTCTCGCTTCGGTTGGGGCGGCGGGGCTAAAAACTTTTGCAAGCCTTCGATATTTACAAAGAAGGCAGTTGGAGTCGTCTTTTTTCGGAGGCAAGAAACATTTTCGAAATTGAAAGGACCTTTACGAAACGCTCCGATATTATAGTAGACATCAGGGGGATTAGCCAAAACCTGGAGCCGCTTCCCGTGCCTTTTGGGCCAAAAGTGCGTGAGGATTGGAATTGAGGACAAGGCGTGGTTATGCTAGTGATTTTTGGAGATTTTAAATTCTATAAAAAAGTAAAATTGAGGAAAAAATGGAAAGTCGTCCGAAAATAAATACTACAGAACGTCCAGAACGAACCCTCGTACTATGGAACTTGTGTACGAAAAACAATTTCAGGTCACTCGATTTAATTTCGGACCAAATGAAGGCTTTACTGTATACGTGAAAACTTTTGTTTGTAACCAAAAATTGCTGCACTAATAGAGAAAAGTCTAATCTGAGTAATAATCATGAAACTACTGTCTCAATAAGCATCTAAAGCGTATTTTACCTTTTTTAGTCATCAAATTCTTGCCTAATAGCTGAAAACCGAAGATCTAGTGTGTCGAGTGTTAAGCGCCGCAAGTCCAGCAACGTATCGTCTCGACTTCAAATGCGAAGATCAACCAAAAATTCAGAAAGAAAACTTTTTGAACTTTAGATCTCGAATTGTAGGCATACGACATTCTCTTAACGTATCCGTTATTTTTACTTGCCCTTTGTATACAAAGACGGCTGAATATCTCCACTGTCCCATAATGTGTCAGCAAAACGGGGCGCAGAACTTAGAGTTATTAATTTAAGCGATAGATAGAACATGTTCACCAAATTTGAGGCGTATCTGGGCACCTTTCATATTGATTGATTCCACAAGTATATGTGTCAGTTTCTTTTGCCACACCAAGTTTCAGCGCTTTCTGTTATGCCTGGTATGGTTTCCGGTCAGCAAAATATTGCTTCATCAACCGGATGGTTAGCCAAGTTTCTTATTGGGACGGCTCTTTATTTAATAAGGCTAGACCAAAAATTTCAGCCGAGGATCATACGAAACGTGCTGTTATTTAAAGATTTTTATCGGACATCTTTGTGCATCTTGCAATCTTTTACTTATCTTCTAGACCAGCAGGGTAAGTATTCCAAGTGCGACGCTCAGATCTCCATGAAACTTGGCACAAATTTAGAATATTTTTTTCCAAGTTTCTACGTAAGACATACGAGACTCCAAGCAACCGAGATTTTTTGTCGAAGGTTGGAAAAAATACGAAACTTTTTTTGAGAATTTTGAGATGAAAAGTTGTATGCTTCCTTCTACCGAAGAATGTAATGTATCCACACAAAATCATTTTTTTCACACGAAAGATACGGTCTTGAAATGTTTTTCTCTCTGACCGCTTTCCGCGCTTTGCGAACTCTCTCGGCCGCAAAGATTGTTCAATATATCGATTGCCGCTGTAAAGCTCGAGCTCAAACTTTCAAGAATTGATATGTGGTCTATGCCAAAAGTGTAAAATTTTAAAAAAAACTCTGAGCGTCGCACTTGGCAGCCTTCCATTGTAAAATGGAGCATTTTTACCATTTTTGGAACCAACTTTTTTAAAATAGTGTGTGATTTGCATAGACGACAAATCACAAGTTTTGTTTCGGAAAAGGGAATTCAACTTTTGTAGTGTTTTCAAAATGACGTCACAAAAAGAACTTCCGTGTTTTTGGCGGTCTCCGGGAATCGTTTGGGCAACGTTTTTTTTTTTGATAAGCTATCTGTTTCTATTATATATAAGAATGATATGATAGCTTTTATTTATCAGTGACTGCGTATGTGCATAATAAGAGACTAATTGTAAGACTACAATAAACACTGAGAGGGGGTGATAAGAGAGGGCTTGGAGGCAATGGAAGAATTCTGAAACCTTGAATATTGTCTTTGAACTTTCTGTAAACTGTATCTCGGCAGTTTTAGGTGACGAGGTTTATCGGCTAGATAAAGAAAAATGTTTGTCGATAACTTTTCTGCCTCTGTGACTCTCTGATCTCATTGCAGCTCGACACAAATTTCAAATGAGTTTCTGTATGACAATTACGAGATGACTAGTTCGCGCTTTGCAGAAACACCCAAATGGCGATAAAAATCGAACTTTTTTGCGACTTTTTACATTAAAGTTTGAGACATATTTCTGTTCAAGAAGGCAGCGAAAATTGGCAGCAAAATAAATTTCTCCACCGCTCTCCGCATTTCACGTACTCTCTTGGGCAAAGACGCTTGAATATCTTGAAGCAAAATTTTAATAAAATCTCACTGCAAATCCTTCTTTGGGAGACTGAAAATTTCAATCCGAGAACTGCTGCAGAATATGTAAATTTCCTTCAAGTTGCTGACGAAAAAATGTTAGAAATCACACTAGAAATTGTATATTTATTGAGCACAATATTTCCATAAGAAGCTAATTTTTCTGTGCAAAATCAATAAAGATACGGCCGAAAAACATTGATTTCAGCCTCCTAAATTTCCATTATCTCTCGGCTGTAAAGATCGCTTAATATCTCGGCTGCCCTGCAAAGCGTGAGCTAAAACTTTCAGAAATTGATTTGTGGCTTATAAAGATTTTTTGGGCTAAATTTTAAGAAATTTTGTATTTTTACCCCAGGCATTTTTTGCAAAATCATCATAGGACTTTATAAATTCGTTCATTATAGAAAAGTTTAATTACAAAAGGTAAATTTACTGTGCATTTTCTATAATGAAAGCACTTTTATTTTAACTTTGTTTTTCAACTCTCAACTTGAACAAATGACCGATCATTATCTGCTCTTCGGCGATTAAAACAGCTCATAACTCATGTTGAACATTTTCCCAATCCAATCCACTTGTCATCCTCCGTTCCCGGGCTCCCGTTTTCGCTTGTTTTGACCTCGCGAACACGTCCGGTCATCTCGCCTTGACCGCGTCATTGCTCAGCAGTTGGCGCTAAATGCAGGTGTCAAGTATAATGTCCGTCCGATTTTTGAAATGTTTTTCTTCCTCTTGAGAGTTTAAATTTCGTTTTTTTCGTTTATTGCGCGACTGTTTTTTTGATTACAATTTAGGATTTTTACTTTTCGAAGGTTCGAGACTCGCGAGTTAGAGTGTATTTTGAATGGAGAGACGAGAGAAAAGCAGAGAAATTGATCAAAAATTGAGAGAATCAGGGAAAAATCAATTGGAAATCAACTAAAAATCACTAAAAAATATTGAAAATGAAAAAAAAATCGAGAAAAATCATCAAAATCAGAAGGAAAACAAGGGAAAACAGCATTTCCATCGAGAGAAAAGAGCAAAACAAAGCAGTAAAGATCAATTACAACGCAAAGAGAGTGGAAGAATCAGACAGCCCGAGGGATTTTCTCAAAACCATTTTTTGCGCTTCACTCACAAGTAACGCCGCTGTCAGGAAAAGGAGGGGGAATTGGGGGCACGCTGATGTTTAATGGTTTCTCTGAGCCTCTGCTGCGTCTGAATTAAATGCATACAGCTGTAATATCTTCTAAGCACCATGTTCTCCTCAAAAACAACGATCCCTAAGCTCAGCAAAATGGAAAACCACCAAATTCTCATCAATTTCTCCCGGACTCTCATCAGATCGCATGAACAATATAAATCGGGTCTCCTGCGGACCCAGCAATCTCTCTGTGTCTGATTTTTCTGTCATGCACACTGTCTTGCATGCTCTTTCATCGCCTCTGCTCTTCGTTTCGGAGTCTTTTCAAACGACCATTTCAAGGCCCTTGCCATCCCGTTGAGTGCACAGTCGGGCAAACGGAGAGAGAGTGCGGCGTCGCGTTTCCCGCCTCGCACACATTCACAATTCAGACCTGCCATCTTGCTTGGAAAACAATCTTTGGCTCGCTCCTTTCGCCGCCTGTCGTCCTGTCTCTTCATTCGCCCAGAATCGCGCTCTCTTCTCCATCTCCGCTTCTCTTCGAAAGTGCAATATCGAAAAGGCCGCCAGATGTTTCGAAAGAGCTCTGATTCTCTCGCCCCTCTCCCCGCAGTGGCCTCACACTCCACGCTGCCTCAGCCGACCGTCCCGCGCCTGCACTCCGCGCTGAATCGCGCCACAGCCCCAACTGAGCGGAGAACCGGGGCTGTTTTGGGGCGCCCGTCGAAACGACTTTGGGGCGCGCTCTCTGTGTGTGTGTGGAGAGAAGGGGGAGTTTTTCGTGTGCAATTCAATGGCGAAAAGAATGGGGAGTGCAGGGAGCGCTCCGCCGAACGACCGACCGACCTTCGCCCAGCCCGCGACTGCCCCTCTCTGCCGCGTCTCCGGCCGCCCTTCGCACACTCGCCCGCTTTCCGTTTTTCCCCCCGAAAATTCTCGCCAACACTGGCTGGTGGGATTGTTGGGGCTTCGGCCTTGCGTTGCTCTCTCTCTCTCTCTCTCCCCCCTTATTCGAAATTTTCCGGGGGGATAAAGGGGGAATGGAGAAGAAGGACGGGAAGGCTGTGGGGGGACGGAATGGACGGAATTGTTTGGGGAGGACGAAGCGGGGGGCGAATGGCGGAGAGCAGGGCAAAAGGGGGTGCGAGGACGCCGCCGAAAATCCGTCGACGCGTCGTCGTCCCTTCTTCTTCTTCTCCTTACTTGTGCCCGCTTTCCTCTCTTCCCTTCCCCTCCTTCCTTCACAGAGCCTTCGTGAATTTGGAAGGAAGGGAAAGGAGAAGGCGAAGGAGGGGGGAAAATCGGAATGAATGCAAGTCGGGGGACCGAAGCCGAGGGATGGAGGAGTCGGCGGGGTTTTGGGGAAGATTGTGCGGGGTTCAACGCCGCCGCCGTCGCTGCCGCGATTTCCTCCACCACCGAAGATGACGAAGGGCGAAGGAGGCGAGGAGAATGGAGCGGATGAGAAATTTTTTGGGTGGGGGGAGAAAGGGGGAGAAGAAGATTTTTGGAGGGGAAAAGGTCGCGTGTCGCGCTTCTCCCCAAAGTCCAACGAAAATCCGACGACGGGGCTGCTCGGACCCTGCTTCCGGGCGTCGACGGGTTTGCGCGCAACGCTCGCCCCCCACAAAACGATCGTTTATTTTTCCGCGAAAGGATGACGCGAACTTTTTCCATTATTCCCCCAGCCGTTCGCATCCGCCCCAGATCCTCCGATGGAGGTCTTGGCCCCCATTGTTCGCGCGCCGATGACTAATCCCCGCCGCCGTGGAACGGTGACCCCGCGAAATTCGGATGCCATTGGCCATTACGGGCCCGGGATTCCGGCGGGTCTAATGAAGGGGGGCGAGTGGACAAAGGGCCCGCCAAATCCGCAAATGGCCATTCCAGCGACGCTCTCACGTGTCTGCCGCCCGTTCCCGCCGCCATCTGCACTCTTGACGACAAGAAACTCGGAATTTTGTCCGGTCATTCCTGGGAGAGCCCCGCCAACAATTTCCTGAGCCACAAAAAACGCCTCCCAGAAGAATTTTAATGAAGCCAAGCAAGGGAATTCACGTGTGCTGATATTCAAATGACCTTATCAGAGCGTTTCGTGCAATTGTACCCGCACATTCAGGCCTTCGTATCATATTTTCGAGGCTTTCAAAACATTATGTCATGTTTTTTGCGAGATTTTAATTTCGATGACTTAATTTTCAAAGTTTGACGACTAAAATAATACGCTTCAGCGAATGCACTAAGTCCTTTTATGCGCGACTGTGGTGCTGGCCTTGATCTGAAGGAACATCCACAGGAGTGCCGTCAACGACGTCACAACGACTCAAATGTCTTCGGCTGAAGGCACAGCCGATCCGAATGCTGGCCAGCCAGCGGAACAGGTACGCGTTTCACTCTAATCCCATTTCAGGCAACTCTCCCGGTCTTCAAGTCTCAATCGTCCTCATTTTGGGAGCATTCTCTGAAATCTGCAATTTTTAGAATAAAAATTTGAAAAATATTTTTTTAAGATTTTTACGGAAACTACGGATATTTTAGGCCAAAGTAAAGGGCAGTTTTAGCAAATTTTAGGGATAATCCCCATTTTCATTTGCAAAGAATATTACGCATCACGTTTATGGGCCGTATTTTTGATTTTTGAAAAATTGAATTGTCAGCATTTTTGGGAGAAATTGAAAATTTTTGAAATTTCAGGGTTAAGACTGACCTCCAGAAAATTGGGAATGTTCTATGAGAATTTTCAAAAAAATTAGAGCGAATTTTAGCCAATTCTTCCTTATTTCAGAGCTATTTTTGTTTTTTAGGCCCCTTTTTTCAGCTCACTTTTTATGGATGAAAGGCTCAAAATATTCGAACATAATTCTCTTAACCAAAATCATCACGTTCGTTTTTCCCATTCTGCACAATTCCCTCAATTTTTTCGCAAACCCCCGAGAACGGAGCGCAAATTCTCGCACGCATCTTCCCCATGACTTGCCATGAGAGTGACCATTAAAATTTAATTTTGTTTTGTTGTTTTTGTTTACTTCCTCTTCTCCATTTTCCCGCCCCGACACCGATTGCACTCTATAACATTCTCCCCCCAAAAACACACTTTCCCCCCGGGGCGGGGAGAGCCCGTCCCTTCGCCATGTTGTTGTCGTTGTTCTTTGGTCGAGAGTTCACAATGTTTTTTTTGTGTGAAACCCTTGGAAAGAATTTCTCTCCCCCCATAGTTTCTTTCGCTTTAACAGAATGTTTTTCCCGCCCGAATGTCTCATTTCCGTTCGAGAGCGGCGGGGAGAGGGAAATGGAATGACGTGAGATCCATGAGCTTCCATGGACTAGTCCTTTACTTCGAGCGAAGATTTATGGCTGGGGATTTTCGGACAGACGATTTTTGCCTTGGGTTCCTCAAAGGGTTGGGGAAATTTTGGGAGGAAAACTTTGAAAAGGATATTATGTTAGACTTCTAAGGTTTACCACAGATTTTTCTCTAAAAATCAATTGGAACTACTGCTTAAAATGACTGTAACTCGCCGCATTCTCTATAAAAAATGTTAGTTTTCCATTTTCTACTCAATAGTTTTAATTTTCAACCAAAAAATCGTTTTCTGGCTTGATGCAGAATGCCAAAAAATGTCATCTACCGGAAAAAATAGGCAACGAAGTTTTATAAAACGGGTTGCGTATACCATGGTTTTTCATTTCCTTCATTTTAGAACGCTTTTCACTATGCATAAATTTAAAACTAATCATTGTTTGAGTTGTTGCAGAACGCCAAAAATTTCATATAATGGCTAAACTGCTCAACTAAATGTTCTAAAATAGCTCCCACAGACTTTGTCGCTGTATTTCCTTCATATCACAATAGTTTTTCCCCTTTTTTTCGGGTTTTCTTATGTAAAAGTCATCATTTTTCGAATTATCGCAGAATGCCAAAAAATTCTAAACCAACGCCTAATATTGCAGAATTTTTGAAAAAAAAAACATTCTCGTTTCTTTATAAGTAATTTTTCAATTTGCTACAATCAAATTTTTCCTTCTTTTCGACTTATCCGTCAATTTTTCGTTATTTTTCCACTACTTGTTTTTATTCCAATTCACTTCCAAATTCTGCTCAAATCTGTAAATCTTAATCCAGTGTCCATTCTGCACCCTCTAATCAGTGAGACCGTCGCATCATTTCCCTCTGTTTTTTAATCCTTTTTTGCTACGTTGTGTGAAAGAAAAACCCCTTTGTTTTTTTAATTCCCCCATATTCTGTGACTCATTTCGCGGAACCCTTAATTATTTTCCCGCCAAAATTTTTGCAATGGACATTAATTTCGCTGCTCCAAGTGTTTTTTTGCGTTGCGTCGGAAATCGGTCATCGAATGTTTTCGAAAACACCTGTCAAAGCAAGGGTCTTGTGATGCCCGCAGGCGCTTTTAACAGACAAGACCGTTTCGCAATTAAAACGAAAGATAAAGAGAGTGATCGAGTGATTGGCGTTCGACGCGAGAGGGTGTGGAAAAATAGAGGGGGAGAGAGTTGTTTTTTGGCGATAGAAAAGACGAGAGATTACGCGAAAAGCGGAGAGCAAGGCCATTTAAATAGGGATGACTGCAAAGAGGAGAGCGGTTAGAGAAACAGGGAGTATGGAGAATGAGGAGAGACAAGAGAGCGCCCGAGGGCATTGATGGGAAGAAAACCATGGGCGAGGGAAAGCGGGGTCGTTCTTTATGTGTCTCAGGGCCTTTTCCGAAAAATAGGGGGCAAAAAATGGGAGCACGGGTCTGTTTGAATGAATTTGGTCGTTGGAAAGAAGGCTAGAGAAATAGCACATCGCCCAACGAGGAGTCGGAGAGACGTCAGAGAAAATGGAGGGAAATATTGCGAGGCACGAAGAGAGTGGTAAGGGAGGTTAGAGAACTCGTAGATTCGCCCTCCGAAGGCTGCAAACCCCCTAAATTCTACTGTAGCTTTCGGCAGGGTACTGTAGTTTACAATACGTCCAAGATATTCGAAATTAAAGCTATTTGGAAATGCATTTTAAGCCATCAAAGAGCCGTGTTAATACCATCCCTTTCGCCCTCTCTTTTTCGCACTTTGAACCCGTTCTTTGATCCCCTTAATCAGCTACTAGTGCACGTTGAATAACTAAACACCGACACACGTAGGGCTCGAGACTTTCGGGCGCCGGCGGGAGACGCCAGAGAACGCAGAAACAAACAGATGGCTTATACATTACACATGAGCGATTAGGTCACGTGCTCCGCCTGCTTTTTCCCGATCTCATTATCGCTGGAAATGGGAGCTGGGGGGACGGATGACGTCACTTTCCCATACCCTTCTCCCCTCTCCGTCTCTCAAATGACCCCGTTGTTGTTTGTGTTGTTCCGCTCGTTTCGCATATTATTCCTTCCGAGCTGTCGGGATTATTTTTTTGTTTCGGGAATGACGTCATCGAGAGCCGTTAAAGAATTCTCCCCCACCCTAAAAAAACAAAATTTCCCTTCCCCCCGAGGGTGGGGGGAAG